TTGGTTTGTTTTTTTTTTTTTTTAACATTTCTTTACTTTCTGGCATTACAAGATGCTGTAGCACATTTTGTATATTCCCAGTACCAGTATTAGGTCAGTCATTTCCCCAAGGAGCCCTGGTTCCTTTTCTTGGAGAGTAGTATTAGAAGCCAAAATCTGTGTGCTGGGTGTGCTTACTGCTACAAGGGTGTCATTGCCTCCTGTGCCCTCTCAGTGGACAGAGCTAGGAAATACATATATTTACATTAACCCATGTATACATACATATCTATAATTTTATCTTTGTAGATCTGTATGTTATGCTAAATATGAGTTCACACTTATCACTGACTCTAATCCAATATAACATGGTTTAGTCTTTTCCCCTTGTTTTGTTTGTAATCTCCTCTAATAGTAAGAAACCTGGCTCCCATCACCTGCCATCAACTTGTTTGTTCATCTCCAGCATACATACAAAGCAATTTCAGAGTTGTCAACCCAGATGCTGCAAGAAATAACTTTGTCAGTTAAAACATACTGTTTAGGTACAGTTCCTTTTGTCTGTGGTTTCACAGTTTCCAATCAACACACCATTTTTTCCAAAGTTAGGTCAGTTCCTTTTCTTCCACCCCCTTTAGTGAAGTTACATCATACATTTATAATACAATTAGATTATTATGTCGTAGCCCACATTTGATCCTATGGATCCCCTGAACTTTAAGCTGATTTGTTAAATGTATATACAGTAAGGTTCACTCTTTGTGTTGTAAAGTTGTAAGGGTTTGACAAGTGCAGGGTGCCATGTACTACTACCACAACAGTACAGATTAGTTCCACCACCCTCAAAAAGGCTCCTGTTCACAGTTTCTTGAGAGTTCCCAGAGGATCAGTTTTCAGACTGATATTTCAGTTTGATCTTTGGTAGGAAAAAACCTTGGCTGTGAGTCCTTTCATCTCAGGCAGTAGTTCTTAATCCTAGTTGTACATTGGAATTATCTGGCAACCTTTAAAAAATATTAATGACTGATCCTAACTCCACATTCTGGTTTCATGGATCCCCCTGGTTTAACTGGTCTGTGGTATGGCCTGGATGTTGGACTTTGCAAAGCCCCCCAGATGCTCTCAGTGTGCAGCTAAGGTTCAGATGTAGTGGCCTTGCATTCATCTACATCGTGATTGGATTCAACTGCCTTTTGATAACACAAATGATTAACTGATGCATCTATGTCACTTTGAGAGGATATTATGGACTATCATAGAAGTTTTTTGAATAAGTAATAATAGAAAAGATGCATTTCACATGCAAAATAATCATGTATGTAAAAACATGATTTTTTACTCTCTAACTGAACTTAAAATGAACTTCAATTTCTACTGCTGAGGGCAAACTAAATTTTGATAAGTCTAAGTGACTCAGTTACTTCTAGTTTAAAAACTCACTTCTTTGCATATAAAGAGTTGAATTCAGCTTGGCTCTCCCGTTCTCTGTCCATGTTTTCCCAGACTAATCTAGGTTTGGGCCCAGGTGACCTCAGGTGGCATAGGCATTGGGGAAGGTATATCTGGTTGGAGGAGGTTCCTTTGATGTCTTTCTCTGCAGTGCCAGGTGGTTTTCTCTGAGGGTATTCAACCATGTTTCAGGCTGGCTTGGCCTTCACCCCTGTGCTCTAAGCCATGACTTTTGGTCTCCAAGTTTCTATTATAGGGTCCTTAGGCTTCTCAAGGCTTTAGTGACTACCTGCTTAGCCATCTGCTTTTAATTCTTGGCTACCTTCTGTGCCCCTCTCCAGGCTGACAGGGGAACCTTGGAAGACTTTCTTCACATCCCTTGGCAGCTGGAGTGGCCTCTCTTGGTCCTGCTGTAAGCTTAGATCTGCCCTGCAAACATTTTTTCTCTACTTTATCTGCCCCTTCCCATAATTCTCATCAGGAGGCAGGATCATGAGTGCTCTAAAGATCCCCAAATCCATTACAACTCTCAGGGGCTTCAACCCCCAACAGGGCCAAGGAGCCAAGCCCTATGTACTATCTAAAATCTCATTTTCCTCTCCTAGTTCCTTCTTCCCAGTACAAAGGAGGAGGAAAACTGAGTCACATTATTACTCTTCTCCCCCTATGGTTTACATCATGAATTCCATGCTTGCTATCCTCTAGGCTTTGTTAATGATACACAGTGCCAAGATTTTAGAATTTAAAAAACACAACAAAACTTTTTCTCTCTCAAGAAGCTGACTCTCTCAAAATAATGGGCTTGGACCTTCAGACTATTGATTTTCTTGTGAGTGTTCTAAAAATCCATTCAGAAATCCAGTCTCCTTCTGTGTTTTGGGTTGTGTCTGCATTTGGCTTCAAAGCAGGGAAAGGCACTGACTAAAGGACAAAGGACTTGAGGCAACAAGAAATTTGTGTCAGAGGAAAAATCTCTACCGATGTCTCAAAATAATACCCCTCTACCACAGTATCATGATATGGTATAATATGGACCTGATACTCCAAATGAATTTCAATTTGGAATTGGATGGAATTGGAAGGCAAAATGATTTCAGTGCAAATTGTCATAAAGGCCAAAGAGATATATCTGCATTTAAAGGCATATAGATCTTCCCTCATATGTGATACAATAAGCTGAACATATATTTTAGGCTTGGCTAAAAGCTCCAGACTGTATATGGCATACAAGACCTTAGGACAAAGAAAAAGAATTTCATATCTATTATGTATACATTCCAGGAACACTTCACTGCCAAGGTGACAATTGGGGATAGCTGTACAGAAAGACTTCAGTCAGAGTCTACTGAGATTAAAAATAAAAGACAAATCAAAGCAATTAAAGAATGAAAACCCTCTGGATAAGCAGATTAACTCTGGGCTCAGATTCAGAAGATGAGTAACCACACTTTGTCATTTGTTTTGTCCTCAGCTGGAAAGGCAGCTAATGATGCAGAATGAAATGAGAGAAAGACAAATGGCTTTGCAGATTGCTTGGTCTCGGGAATTCCTCAAATATTTTGGGACTTTTTTTGGCATTGTAGCCATCTCTGTAACAGCTGGGTATGTCTACTATTTACTTTAAAGTTTTCTTAAATAATTTACTTCTTTTTGTCTTTGCCATTACCATAATATTATGAAGTTGGCCAAGGTAGGACTTAAGTCCAGATAGCATATATGTAAACAGAGTAACCCCTTATAGTTTAGCCCTGTAACCCCTATAGTTTGGAGGTAACTGTAGATCCAGGGTAGTGATAGTTAATTCTGCCTTCAGTTTCCTAGATTTCTTCTCTTTTTCTCCATTCTATAATTTAGAAAAAGGATTGACTTGACACCAAAACAGAAGGAGTCTCTATAAGTTTATCTCCACAATTCCTGAGGGGTAGATATCAATACTTAACCAATTTTAGATTGAGTAATCTGAGCTTCACTGTCAAATAAAGATGAGCAAGTCATGACCCTGCCCTTGAGAACTGCAGAATCTGGTGAGGGGTTGTGGACAAGGAAATCCTTTTTCCATAAAAGATTCAAATAAGTTAAGTAACTTCTGAAATGGAGGACATTCTTTCAAAAAGCAGGTAATTTTTCTTTCAAGTATAGATATGTATTTACAAGTTATCTTTGATATTCATTCTTTTTTATTCTTGAACCAGAGCAATAAAAAAGAAGCAGCCAGCTTTCCTCTCCCCTATAGTTCCGTTAGGCTTCATCTTCGCCTACCAGTATGACTTAGGCTATGGAACCCTTCTACAAAGAATGAAAGGTAAGCCTTTGATAAACCAGAGTCTCTGTTTCTGATTCATTTTCTGGTTCCAGGATCACCTCTTTTTGACCTCTTGACTTGTGAAGATTCTGACAAAACTCAGGAAGCTCTCCCTGAGCTTTTAATAACCAAATTTTCTTTCCCTCATATACAGTGGTCTGCTCAGGCCAGCTTATACAAACTCATAAGAACCATTTGTTAAATTTCAGGAAATTTGTAAGCTGGTTTTTAAATACAGTCATTATTAACAATTAAATTATATAAACTTACAACTAAATAAATTATAAAAAATAAACAATATTAAGTTATATTAAAACAATGGTAATACTCAGAACTTACCAGTTTCTAATTATTTTACTATTATCTATACTCTTAAGTAATGTATATCTAAACTCTTAGATTATGTCTATTATATCTGTATGTAGATACAATAATACAGACATAATAAAATTCAGATACAACTCCTGATTCATTGGTATCTTGAAGTTGGTCATGGTGGGAGTATTTACACCGTGGAAGTCTGCAAATGCCAAATCAAGCCATGATTTACTTTGTTGAGGGTTTAGACCAGGGATTGGCAAACTATGGCCTTCCTGCTAGCCCATCTTTTTGAGAATAAAGTTTTACTGGAACACAGAAATGCCTGTTCATTTCTGAACTGTCTATTGCTTTCTCATTACCATGACAGCGAAGTCATTGCTTCAGAGAAATAAAGCCCCACGAGCCTAAAATATTTACTGTCTGGCCCTGTAACAAAGTTTTCCTGTAGTCTGGACTGAGGAAAGTGATGAGGAAAATGTTAATAATGCAGATTATGATTAAAAGCATGTTTTATCTGTAGCCATTACATTGTGAATTGCATAAAAACTTGATATGTTCTCCCAATATTTAAAAATTGTTATCTCATTCAGCAAAGTTGTTCCTGTTATCCTTAAACAAGTAAAGTTCCAATATATGTCATTCTTTCACTTTTGTTCTAGTCATTAATGTAAATGAAAACACCAACCAGCATTCACGTTTAAATTATACTCTCTCATCCACTGCAGTTGCAACTATAGGTTAGCTTTGGATACAAGTATTCAGCAAAACTTAAGGAAAACATTCTGTTGTAATTAATTTGCTACAGAGAATTTTGTGATAAAGTGTATTATACATTATTATTTATAAATTATGTGCTACATATTTTATACAAGTAAAAATTTTAATAAATTTATGTACATAACACACACACACACATTTTTTTCCCCCACCATCACTATGATGATCTCACAGAACTCTGGCTCTTATCACCCTAGAAAATAGTGCTGCCACAAAAGCCATTACACTCCTGTTCCAAGAAGATAGTGTCACACTGGTCTAGGATATACATGTCTTTCAAATTCCAACCAGTATTGTTCTGGGAGCTATACTCTCCTAAGGATCTCTGTGTACCTACTTTACAAGCCTTCAACCCAGAGCATATTGGGAACAGTGCTTTCCTAAGCCTTCATTTTGCTATTCCTTTCTCGCTTAGGTCTCATTAGTACCCCTGAAGCTCTGTGGGGACTGGTTGGTATGGGAAAGGGGAAAGTGCAGGCTCCTCTGCAGGTTTGAGAGTCAGGAGTAGAACATCTCATTCTCAGGCCTAGTGAAGTAGAGGGGTAATATGTTCTTAAAAGTTCCCGTTTGAAAATGAAAATACATTTTCTACATAGAAACTATGCTAAAATGTTCTTTGGGTTCAGGCATTATTGGTATCATAGTTCAGCTGTACTGTAAGCTGGACGGTTTTTGTTGATGGCCTACAAATTGATTTATACCATTATTACTACAGGAAAATGTATTCTAAGTTGTAAAACATCTATCTACAAATTAATATGTGGAGTACAATTCCATTTAAGCTGGAAACTAATGGTACACAACTGATTTACTAATATTAAAACTCATTTCAACAACTTAGTTTCATGTTAGTCATCTGCTTAAGAATTCATTAGAGTTCAAGTATGTCTCATTGTTTCTGCCGACATTAGATTCTCAGTGCCTCATAAAAATTAGTATGTAGTATTAAGAAAAGTCAACTCTGTTGTGCATCATTCAGTTGAAGATTATACTAATAGCAGGGGTGTTTTTTCTAGGAATATTTTGATTGCATATTTGGGAATTAATTTTATTACAGGTCCATCACAGTCCATAGAATATAAAATCTTAAACTTTTAAGGCATGTTATGGGAATTTCCTATAAAAAAAATACTTTCGAGCCACCAGGAAATTTACCATATTAGCAAGTTTAGGTTATAATATTTGGCCTTGTTAGCTAGCCCCAAAATATACAATCCCTGTTTGGCTGAATTTATCATCAGCTGTTCTGTAAACATATACTAAGAATTTGCCATATGCAAGGCATTGGCACATGGAAACATCTAGTCTGTCATCAAAGGCCTGCCTAATTATATACAATTTATACTGATTTTTACTTACTATTTAAGGCAGAGGCAAAAAAAAATGCAGATGGTTAAAATGTTGTTATAATTAAAAACTGTAGCCTGCCATATTTGGTTTGGAGTATAAATTGTGTGCTACAAAAAAACGAGTACTGAAAAAAGCATTTACCTTCATTTTCAAGGAAAATATATGGAATGTCAACAATGTGTATTATAATTTTTTAAAGTTTTGCTAGTCAGCCTTTAACAAGAAAAGTTGACAAATGTTACTGGGCCCAAGAAATCGATAGCTGCTATTTGAAGAGGATTTGTTTATAAAAAAATATGTGTATATATATATATATATACATATACAGACTAAAGAACATTTAATATTATTTTAGGTATTTACAAATAGTTTCAGGTTAAAGATTAGCTTTCCTGAAATATTAGAATGCTTAGTAAACTTTATTTTCTCTCATGTCACTTATGATACATTAAGGGGCAATATGAAGGACTATCTATATGTAGTTTCTCCACCCCACACCCCTCCAAACACAACCAATAGTTATTATACTGACATTCCTTCAAGGAAAAGAGAAATATTACTTGGTAGTCTTTCTCTTCTACATTTTAAAATGCTGTCTTCTAGTCAAATAAAATTTATGGCATCTGATTTATCTGTGAGCCTTCAGAATTCCTTTCCTCCCAAGGAAAGAATGATCTTCCCAAAGCCTAAGGGCAATTGATGAAATATTTAACACTGAGTTTTAGGGGCATATTCCCACACAGTGTAACAGATTGTCACTGGAATTTAACAATTAGGCCTTCTCACAAAACACCAATGACCCTTTTGTCACCTCATCTTCCTTATCTCTGTTCTTTATTTAAGGTGAAGCTGAAAATATACTGGAAACAGAGAAGAGTAAGTTGCAGCTGCCAAGAGGAATGATTACTTTTGAAAGCCTTGAAAAAGCCAGAAGAGAACAAAGTAAATTCTTCATAGACAAATGAAATCACATTTATGCACTGAATCTCAAAACAGAACTGTTGATTTGAATCATGGCTTTTACAGTTTTTTAATGCTTGAGATTTTGATATAATGGATTTTATTTTAAAATACTAAGATGCAAGATGAGCTTTGTTAAACTATTTTAAAATAAAATTTATAATATTCAACACAAAATTATGGAAGTACTCCAAATAACTTTCAGATTTCATATGTATGAGTATGACAAATACATAAATGTAAAATTAATAGACTATATTGTTTTGAATTCCTGGAAAATGTCCTGCTGCTCTCATTTGTCTGTCACACATGCTTTCCCGATCATATTCTTCTCCCATAGAGACTCCTTGCATTTGGATTTATCAGTTGTGTCCTTGTCTCCACATGATAGAAAACCACTAATATTAATGACAAACATTTTGCTGACTATGGCCAGGCATTGTCTGAGTATTTTCCACATATTCTTATAATCATCCCAACAATCCCATCAGGTGGACATCATTTTATGGATGTGGAAACTGAGGCACAGAGAGGTTGAATTACTTGCCCAAGGTCATACATGGATAGAACTGGGACTTGAACCTAAACATATTCTTGACATGCAAAGATAACTGTGAAAGACAAAATGTAAAAACATTCAAATAACGACTTGGAGTATAGTTGCTAGAGAGGTGGGCAGGAGGGGGAGGCTGATTAGGATGCCCACCACTTTATTTCCACTCACTAGGAAACTTATACCAAACTTATAAAATAATCCTATTTATACTCATTCCTACACATGCACAGCTTACATTATAACACACTAATTCCAAAGGTGTTTACTAATACCTACTATGTGTCAAGCACTGCTGTAGGCACTAGGGCTATGTGAGTGAATGAGAAGACAAGGTCACTGCATCCCAGGCAGAGAAGTATGTTCTAATGAGGAGTGGAATAACTGGGAAGAGGAGCAAATAAACATGGAGATAAACAAGATGTTGTCACTTCTGATGATGACAAATGCTTTAGGCAAAATGAAGCAGGATGATACGAGAATGAATGGAAGGACTGTGGTCAAGAGGGACCACTTTAGATCTGGGACAGTAGCAACTGCTCTGTAGACATTGAGCTGAGACCCGAATGATGCCAGTCTTGTGAAGAGCAGGTATGGGGACAAGGAAGGGATCTTTAGGTGAAGAAAAGAGCCAGAGGAAAGGCTCTGAGACTTGGTACTGCCAAATAATAGAAAGAAGGCCAGGGTAAATAGGAGGAGATGAAATCTGAAGGGGGGAACAAGTATAAATGCAGTGGCCATCCTCCACAAGCAGCTGATGACATATGAACATATGGTTCTGATACAATTATCACTGTAGAGAACGTTGGGCCAAGGCTTGACAGATGTACTGAAGTTCTCCCTGAAAGCAAGGAGGTGAAGAAGAAGGGAATTGTGTGCAGAAGCAGCAGCTTGGTTAAAGGCAGGACCATGTGTGCCGAGTCTAGGGATAAGCTGCTGATTGTTTGGTTTGCCTGGGCCAAGGGATTCCTCCTCACATGGGGAATTGTTAAGAAATGAGCCTGAAGGCGCACAGCTCAACTCCTGAAAGACTTTGGGTGTAAAACACCAAGGAGTTTGCACTCTATCCTGCGAGTGACGGGCATGAAAGAAGCTGCACTGGGATTTCATCAAGATTAGTCAACTATTTTTACTATTATATTATTTTACTCATAAAGAGATTTCCAAGAAGGGTCATTCTGTTACAGAGAATTTCCAGGCCCACACTTATTTCCTTCAAACCATAAGTTAACCTCCACATACACCTTAGGGATTCTCTGCATTGCTTTGGCTGGGCCAACAGTGTTGGGAAGATCCTAGAGCCCAGTCAACAAAGAGCTGCAATACTACATCTGAGCACTAGCCAGGGCCTGAACTAAGGCTGTGGCTTTGGGAATGGATTCAGGAAAATGAAAAGAAAGAATAGTAGGACTGGGAAAACAGTTTGAGGTTGTGGAGGGAGGAGAAGGTGATTTTTCTTCATTTAATCCACATGGATTTTCTGGGGCCCCTAGAGAACATGGGAAAGAACTGATTGGGAGGCACAGTAGTGGTCTGTGGATGCCTCAGATCTAGCACTGGGTTGAAGACCATGCCAGAATCTGGAATTGTAAATATTTCTTCCCCCTTAAGTTCAATCATGTTGCCCAGACATTCCTGACAGTCTGGTCAGGACTCACCAAGAGTGAGTGGGTTTTAGTCCACTGCAAGGGTTGAGTGGCTAACGACTTTACTTGGGATTTGTGTTGCTATGCAACATAGCAGGCCCTGAGCTCCCTCTTGACCACCAGGCCGTTCATTTGTATTGACTTCTCACTGTGGCACTGACCCTAAATTCATTAATAATTGTTACTCAAGAGAAACTGTGAAACAAACATGCTCTCACACTTTTGTTTGCTTCCCATTGTGAGGAAAAAATAAAAACAGCTATTAAATAATGGTTTTGCAACTCAATTATATTAAAATATATTCCAATTTGTCTCTGGTATTACTGATTATCCAAAGCATTTCCCCTTCTTTATTATTACAGTACCTTTTAATAAAATGGAGAAACATTTCTGCTCTGACACTCTTGAGCTATTTCTTAGCCATTTATGTTAATACTTGCATTAATCGTTATAATAATTATTATTAAGCCCTGATTACCAGCTAGACATGTGACAGTTCAGAATACTAAACCTTATATAGTCTTTGTTCAACTAGTTCATAATCACAGATTTTTGTGCTGTTACAAGAATGAGGAAATTATGAAAAAGTATATTAGGAGAAGGATAAGAAACTAAGATCTGATTACGAGCACAGATTCAAAGATTGAAATAATGGTATCCTCACCCAATGTCTTTTTAGGAATTAAGAACAAAATTGGGTGGGGCAATCTCATCCTCTCTCTATGTGGCTGTCATCTGTCCCCAAGACAGTGTTAGCCTAGCCAAATCAATGCAGAAATACCCTTAGGTGTATGTGGAGGTTAACTTGTGGTTTGAAGGAAATAAGTGTGGGCCTAGAAATTCTCTAACAGAATGACCCTTCTTGGAAATCTCTTTATAAGAGTAAAATAATATAATAGTAAAAATGAAGGTTATGACATCGCAGTACCTACATGTTTTGAAAGTTTTAAATTTGTATTTAAGTGAGAGAACAGGGGACTAAAATTACAAGTACTAAAATTAAAAATAAATCAAGTTGATATAGTGTTCCATCGATTTGGTTTGTATTTGGGGAAAACATTAAGAGATCCTTTATGGTACAGTACCTCACTTCACTTTGTAAAGATTACAGCATGTCCCAAACCTTCTCAAAACAGTTTTGTTGACAAATACTGAAATTATTGTCAAGATGTTAAAGAGGGAAGGTCTAGTCTAAGACCCCAATTTATACTTCTCAAGGGAAGGGAGCCTATTGGTGATTTACCTAAAGTTTCACATCTGGTAATGGTAATTTGTACTAAAACCTTAGTGTTTTGAATCCCTGGTAGGATCCTTTCTAATGCAACATGCTGCCTAACTGTGGAAGGGCAGTGACAATGAAAGTCAAAATCAAAAATGATTTTTTAAAGCTATCATTATGTTCAATCCAAGAGTCTTAGAAAGTCCTATATTGGGCATAGAAGGCATGGGTTCAAAGAGGATGGGGAGGGAGGAAATTCAGATTGCAAAAATAATCTACAACTAATGTAATCCAAATATGAACAATCTGAAATTGAAAAAATATTTTACAGACTTTAGCCTTTTAATATATGCATTTTTAAATGTGAAGTTCTAGAGACACTAGCCAGAACCTAGATAGTTTTTCTGGTCTGCTATTCTGGGAAAGAGACAAACTCAAACTCTTGCTGGGAAAGTTATTAAATGGAAGCCTGTTCCTCAGTTATTACAGTGTCTCTTGATCTTGGAGTGTGTTTGTTCTGCAAGAGAGTTTGAAATGGTCCCTTAAGTTTGGCTTTGTGGATGCTTGCAGGAGATTTCAAAAATACCCTCATCTACCAACTGTCCAATTTGCAGAAGGTAGTTTCAAGTATGTACAGCTGATGACTTAGCATCTCTGCTGAGTTTCAGCTGGTAACTTTGGGTCAGTCTTGGAGTTTATGAAGATTGGAGCAGTACTACAAGTGCACCAAGAAGCCCAAACTAGCTAGGGGAAGTGATAAAGGCCTAGAAAATAAGAAGAAGGCCTAGGTAGAGTAGTCTTCGTGAAGGCATGGAGCTGACTTAAATGTCTCACACAATAAACAGCCTAATGGCTGCCAGGACTCAGTTACTGGCTTGGCTAGGGGAACTGGACTCCCTGGGGACCAAAGTCTCGGGTGGAATCCCTTCAAGGCCAGTTCACTGTGCTGTGCTAACTTGCTCCTCTGGCTACTTGGATAACAGTAAGAAGTGTGGCTGAGGCAGCACAAATTCATTATGACCACTGATAACAGTCACTGAAAACCTGTATACTGCACTAATAAAGACTCAGTGATGTCACTGACATTTCTGGTTCACAATTTCTCAGTCCACAGGTGTCATGGAGTTGAATGATGGACTGCTAACCTCAGTTTATTTATTTTATTTTTGGAGGACTTCATCTGTGGTCAGCAGCACTCTCTGCCTGGACTTGGGGGATAGGCAGACCCTGAGCCTGAATTGGTTTTGGTACTTCATTTGGTGTTATGAGAACAGAGTTCAGGATGTGTCCACATGAAGTCAAGTCCTAGGGAGGATTGGCAATCTGGGATTCTACCTTGGTAAAGACTTCAAAAAGGAAACAGCTGTTGAATGCATGTGAAAGTCAATGGATTAGAGATACTAGTAGACACTGAAATGTGATAAGGAAGTTTGTAAAATTTGTCAGGATGTCAGAATAATATGGTCAGGCTTTGAGGAATACATGACTGTTTTTCCTTCTCTCCCTACCATCCCCACACCATTAATTTACTGCTGATGAAGATGTGACTTGAGTATAAGTTAGCACCAACTCTATTCATGAAAGTGATTTTGTAAAAAAAAAAAAAAATGGGGCATTAAGACAGAGAGATAGATTCTGAGATATGCAACAATTTCACATCTTTGAAAATACTCCAAAGAAAATCTGGCCTTTGAAAGGAACTTTTCATCTTCAAGGAATCTAGAATTTTGAAAGGAGTCTAACTAATGCTAACTACTTCAAACTAGAAAAATAAAAAGACACCTGGTATTTGAATATGGTTTGTGCTTATGGACAGTCACTTCTCTGAAATCAATA